TTCAATCTTCATATTTTTTCCTTACGAATTTTTCTGATCTGTTCTTCTTCCTCTGCACAATAATTACTTCGTGTAATTTACTGTTGTTGAGTGGTTCGCTGATCCCAGAGTTTTTGATATCTATACTCTGGTGATTGAGATCATTTAACCCTTGGAGGTCATATTCCAAATCAAATCTTGAATACTTGAAGAGAATAATTTCCTTAAGGAAACATTGTGAGTTCAACGGACTTGATCTTTTTCTGTTCAAATTTTTCAGATTCTGGTACGTTACAAATTTTAGTTGTTCTTAATTAATTTTGTTCATCTCTTGTACTGATTCAATAAACTTTGGTTACTTCGTGTTTCTGCAAAGTTTTATCAGAATTAGTAATTTTATTTCCAAACGCAGATTGGCAACAGTAACAATCTCAAACTTTTTGACAGGACCTATTACACACTGTACTATTTAATAGTGTATTTTAAAGATGTATAAGTGCCTAACTAGACAAATTGTTATTTATAATGATATAATATTTACGATTTTACATGAAAACGTACATATCTTTGAAATACACTGTTAAATAGTGTAGAGAATGAGAAATACTACGCAAAATTTGGAATCATTACCTCAATTTTATGAATTAAATAAATCAAAATCACTCTATCAATATTTAAGTTGGATTTGATATTACTTAACTAATATGTTGGAGAGCTCTTCCTCATCATCAGCTGCTGACATAGTGGTTGTAGCATGACATTAAATGCTCATGGTACCAAGTTCAGACACAACCAATATCACTTAATTATTCCTCTTTTTATATCAGTCAATTTACTTATTTTAGCCATTTTGTGGACCCAGTTCAATATTCTCTTGTTTTTATTTATGTATGAATGAATAATATTTCATCGTGATATCGTTTATTTAGTTAAATATTAATAAAATAGAAATATTTTGTATTAAGTAAATATATTTGGCATACGTTTAATTATTTTATTTCTTTATTATTTGTAAATCACTTTATATTTTTAATGTTAATATTAGATCATTAATCTTATTAGTAAAAAAACATATGTCATTACATTTAAAAAATTAAAAAGTACTAAAATTAAGACAATTCAAATTTTATTCGTGCGTCATAAAATTTGAAAACCAAAATAATATATTATTTAAAAATTATGTGAATTTTATACATTATTTTAAAAAAAAGTTATATATTAAAAGATTAAGCGATTCTAAATTTCATTCATACCATATAAATTAATAAAATAAATAATATATGTTGAGACCGTGCTAACACGGACTCACGCATCTAGTATCATAAGAAATTTCCTTAGGACTAAGGTCATATTCTTTTTCTTTTCCTCTATTCGATGTTTTTACTTTTAAATAGAAAATAAACAAATAAAAAGACATACTTACAAGCTCAAAAGAAACCACAAGATAAATTTAAATAGCTTAAACTAAAATTTAATACATATAGATATAGATTTTGCTTAATAGGTTTATATATATCGGATACTTTAAAATAATTTAAGAGATATTTTGGATTCTATTAATTTGTGAGATAAGCACTTATGTCATTAAGTTGATGATTAATGTGTTTATGTCATAAACTTTATCTCCAAGTATTAATCTACTTTGTCCCCAAAGTTTAACTCCTTTATCTCCAAGTAATTCTCCCTTTACCACCAAGCTATATTGTGTAATATGTTCTCCTCTACTGCCTATGCTCCTCTATATATAGTAGTTGATGGAGTTTTGAGGAAGAACAACCAAGTGAAGAGTAAGATGTAGTCAATTTTAAACTTGCTTTATTTTATAACATTTATATTTTGTTGATTCTTTGTGTTTTAATTTAAAGGCTTATTTAATTATGGGGAAATATTTTACACTGCTGAAATAGTTTCTTAGGACAGTGTCTAGCATAACCCAAGTATTATATTTATATATACATATATATTACTTAAGAATATTATTATAGGAGTATTTATTTTAATTATTATATTATTATTTTGATATTATATTTTCCCCGTCTATATATACACTAGTAAACTTGTTTGCGCTTCGCTTGGTCTTAAAAGATAGTAAAATATATATTTTTTAAAAATTAAATGGTACAATTTTTATCTATATATTTATCTGTCTATTTGTTTATCTATTCATTTATTTGCAGCTTCTAACAAAAACATAAGTAATTATTTTGATTCAAAAGAAATTATAAACTTGAAAGAAATTATTGAGAGAATATACAAGAAAATAAATAATGCAACATCATTCTTATTACTGTATTCAGTAAGAAAACATGAAATCACTGTGCAATTTTTTGAACTCTTATCGATATCCGCTCCCACAACAGATTACCGCCTTCATCTTATTTTTTTTTAAATCAATTATTATGAATATAATAGCACAGAAACATAAAACTTAAAAAGCTAATGCAATCATTAATGTATTTATCATTGGGCTATAATATAAAATAACAGTAATGTCATGAATGTGACTATTAAATATTTTAGGGGCTATTATAAAACTTGTGGGAATAATGAAACTAAAGATCCATTGAATTTTACTTTCAAGAAATTTAAAGTATTGACTTTTTAGTTTCTAACATTGTATATTTAATATAATTGAGTGTTAAAAAGATATTTATTTATTTATTACTGTTTTTAATATAACATATTAATAAGAAAAAAATTCGAGAAAACCCTTCAAACGAAGAAAAAAGAAAATTGTATTTCTTGACCAAAGAGACACTGATTTTTTTTTCTATTTCTAGCTATGTTATTATATATAAATTTGGTGATAAATCACTATTCAATATTGTAGTATCACATTAGTTAAATATATGAGATTCAATTTTATTATATAGTGGAGATGTGAGAGAAAGTGATCTAAGATTTTATATGTTATATTAAGATAATGAATAGATTAAAATTTGTAAAAAGACTGCTTTTTGTATTTCAGCTTCTTGCTTATACACATTATGTACAAGACTTCATATTTTATAGTCAATTATCTATTATTATGTAGGTAATAATTTATCTACACGATTCTATAATTTCATTCCTAAATTTTTGTCATATACAATTTTTTAGAAATTGGAATTGAGCATCTTCAGTATCAATAAGTACGGTGGAGACTTAATCAGTTTTTTGTTAATTCTACTTAATTCTTCCGAAAGGAGAAATTTTAAAATTGTGTGAAATTCTATTTGAATTTTATATATATATATAAAACTCAAATATAAATTATAAAATACGATTGAATAATTAGTAACTTCACCCAATTGTGACGAACTCTTCTTAGTCTTGAAAAGTTAAGTCTTAATCAAAATAATATTATAATGTGATAAATAAATCTAAAATATTACAAATACAAAACAAATAAACTCACATCATCAGTAAAATTAAGTATCTAGTAATCTTCACTAAAATGTAGGAAAAAAATTATTACAAAAAAAGAAAGAACAGAAAACAGTTAAATACATACCTGTGCTCCATTTAAAAGTTCCTGCAAAATACAAAAAAAACAAAAACAAAAACTCATTACAAATGAAACAAATTACCTATCAACCTTAAAAAAGTTAGTTGCATCGTCACTACAAATGAAAAAAGAAGAAGATATTATCGGAATTTAAAAAGAAAACAATAAAGATATATATCTTTAGACTTTATCCATTTTGTATCTATGTATGTATATAGCTATAGCATATGAAATGATTTATAACTCCGTTAAAAAATATTTTATTCTTCATATAAATATGATGAATTAGTATGAAAAAATTGTAATGGCCAATAAATATGGATTATTAAAGATTGTAACGGTAACATCATTGATCAGATTAATTTTTCATTAATTTATGAATATTATATTAATTTAATGATTAAAAAATGAGATAAAATTTTTAAAAATGGACAAAGATGTTTCCGGCTGCTGCTGAGTAATTAATTACTCCTATTTAGTGTGATTATTTTAAATTTATTAAAGTTTTTATTTTAGAAAAAAATTAGATTTTGTTTTAATTAAAAAGATAATATAGATTATTGCAAATGCTGGCCATTAAAGACTGTTACTCAACTATTCTAGATTCATCTATATATAAATAAAATAGATAAACAATTAGTATCATCAAATTAAATCGATACACATGCCAAATACTAAATATTGGGACTTAATAATAATATATTAGTCTATTAATATCATCAATGACATATAATATAGAGAGTTACTTGATAACATATTTATGAAAATTTCTTTAATACCAAATAATTAGGACTTCAATCAATTAAAATTTTATCTTATATTATATTACTTATGTCCAGATTTATTTATCTCAAATTGGATCAAATTTAATTTGTTTAGAACCTAAAATAATTTTCTGTTAGAAAATAAAATTAGAAACTCGAATGAATCTAATGTAAGTGGACTTTTGGTATGTATCCATTATGTAAAATCAAAAGTCACGAACTTCCATAAAAGAGTGAAGCACGACAAAACCCTCGGGAAGGGTAAAAAAGGAAAAAAAAATTGTCGTCATGTTAAACTGGTTTAAATTATTTAGCGTTTGATCATAGATTTGAGTAAAATTTACCATGTGTTTGATCATGCTATTTGAAAAATATATTTCACTTCTTTAGAAAAACATGATTTATACTCATAATTTTAAAAACTATCAAAACTAATCATAAATTTGTATTACAAGTCAATTGAATCTTCGTTGCAACAATAACAAATAGTGTCTATGACACTAGAGTCATGATAGTTTGAAATGAGTGCACATCATTTTATACATTGTGAAGTATACAAAACACATGACTCTGTTACTTTGAGCTGATTGTTCATCATTTTGTCAACAACCATATTATCATTTAACATTCATTGAATATTTCATTATTTTAATATTCACGTAAAAAATTGTGTAATATAATACAAACAAGAGTATTTTTGTAAAAGATAAAAGTTAGTATAAAATTTTAATTTTTAAAAAAACTCAAACAATAAAATTTGACGAAATATTAAAAAAATGATTATTTGAGAATTTGAAATATTTATCAAAATATTTATTGCTAATGATATGAATAAACATTATTTGGGAAATCTAGGCCCAAAAAGGAAAATTGGTTTGGTTAGTTTTTTGTGTTTTCCAAAGGGCAAAATCAACTTGACGTTTGAATTACCCACTCGGACTGGACTCTGGACTACGTAGTAGCAGAGCAGAGCAGAGCATTTGCATTCTCCTTATAATCTATCGAATCTTCATCTCCAAATCCTAATCTTCAACTTCAATATGGGAAATCGAATTGCGAGAATCCAAAACGAAACGCCATGGTTGATCTCTATGAAGGAGCTTCGCATGTTGGGGGCCTCAACCTCGCTGTATGGCTACACAGTTCAAGTGAATCCTTACGACAGTACAGAGATTCCTGCTTCCCTATTCCTCAATCGCAATCATCAGTATGGAATGCCCTCTGAGATCGTCATATTTACAAACGGAGCTGAGGTCAGGAGAAGTTTAATCTCTCAGGATTTCGTTAGATACGTGAAGATAATACTCTCTGTTGAAGGTCCGTATCTTGTTGTCAGAGGTGTCCTTCCTCAGGTCCTCGATATCTGCTGGTTCTGGTGAGTATAATTAATTTAATTGCTTAGGCTCAGTATTAAAAAATGAATATCTTCGGAAAATCTAGCTGTGTTTGGGTTAGTTCTTTGTTACAGTGTCATCAGGAAATATTGGTGATATTATTGAATTCAATGTTTGGTGTATTTTCCTTATCAAAAAGTAAATTAATTGTATATCATGCATAGTGTGTTTTGAAATAAGAGAGGAAAAGGTATGATATAGGAATGAAAGATTAATTTGATTAAATTAATCACTCAGTTTATGTTTTGAAGGATCAATCATTGATCTTCAATACCTTCAGCTAATTTGATAGTCTTTATGAAGAATGAATTTAACAATTTTACCAATTGAGTTTTGAGTTTTGTAGCTAAAGAATGACAATTGAATGCTGAGGAACATATGGGATCCAAAGCCTACTTTCTGGTATGATAGTAATTAACATGGACTATTTGTTTCCTTTTGGTTTCTGCTGAGTAAACTTGAAAAACTGTTGTGTTTTATAAATCAACCATTGAACCGATTGTGTATGGGAAAAAGCTTGAAGCTTTTCAATATTATTCTGGGACTTTTGATAAAGATGGATTGACTTTGGATTAGAGTGGATGGTATATTTTGAGGCACCAGGATGTGTTTTATAGGTTGTGTTTGTCTAATTTGCACTATAGAATGAGCAAACGATGGTATGGATTCTTGGATCGCTCGCTAAAGGAACTGAATACCTAGCATTCAATTGGATTTGAATTATATGGGAAGCAGATGTCGGTTAGCTGATATTTGCCTGTTGTTTTTGTTAATTATTATGCTTCTTTGAGATCTGGCTTTCCCAACCGGACAAACTTCTAGGGAATAAAATGGCTTTCCCCTATTATGATTGACTGATTTTTCTGAAAAAGATATCTGATACCGGATAAAAAATGTAAAAGGAAAAAAAGCTTCTGTAAGAAATTCATTCTAGTGGTCAGAGTTCCTCATAGTGCTGGACTAGGGTCTTTGTTAAGGCGGGGATCAGAAGAATTCACTGTGTTCTTTTGTTTCTTGGAAATTGATTGTTATTTGAATGATGAAATGCACGTTATCTACGTTATAATAGTCTGTTCCTTTGATATTTTCTTCGGACTTATCATCATTGAGTTTCAAAGGCTTTGGCCGTAAAAAGAGTCATTTTGACTAGTTGTGAGGATTTGAAAGACAAGCTAGATAAGAATATTGATTGATTGAAAGAAGCAACCAGTGGTGCGACTTGGTTAGTCAATTCTCACATGCCCCTTCCGGGACATCTGATAAAAATTGGAATGATACAAAGAAAATTAGCATGCCTCTTGTGCAAGAATGACAACACACAAATCACGAAATGCTCAATTCTCACATGAAAGGCACGAGTACGAGACTTTATAGAGCATGGTAGGCATTAAACTAGTATTGGAGGACTCTCATATGAAGGATTTATACTCATGCGTAGTCCCACTTGTTCCTGTTGTTGCAGTGCTATGTCTGAGTATAATAATTTGAGTTATTCATCAGTCAAACTTTCCCATGTAATTAACTTGTGTAACAAGATTTTAGATGATATAACAAATGTGAATGACATATTGATTGGTAGGTCGATCACTTGAGTGGTATACTGGACCGTTGAGTGTTCAAGTAGAGCAATTAACTAGTAAGGAAGATAAGGATAAAAATCTTATGGCGGATAATAAAGAAGCAATTGGTAAAGTGGATAAGGAAGAAACTCTTGAAGAGGATGTTGAAAAAATTGATAGAATATATGAAGAAGAACTATCGAAGTTTGAAGAGGAACGAAATAGTCGTTGACAAAAATGAAATTACTAAATTGGGAAAATAATGTATTACAAGTGTAGATGTGGAGGCCATCGTGAAACGAGCAAGAAAAAATAACCCAAGTAGGTGTAACAGTTACCCTTATGCAACAGAGGTCTGAGAAAAGAGAAACGTGAGGCTCCAAAGAAGATGAAGAATTAAACAAAGAAAAAGAAGACTACTGAGCCTAGAGATGAAGATAAATGGATCCTAGAAAAAGGTCCTACTTCTCACTAGAAGCCAGGAAGCTAAACATTATTCCATACACTGAGATACTATAGACACTAGTTGTGACGGTGGATAGAGGAAGTAGAAGGTTGAAAGGAGAGAAAGAGCCAAAGTTCTTGACTTTTGATGGGCTACATTTCAAAGAGGAAAGGGTTCCTGTAGACGTGCCTAGGGAAAGCTTGAGAGGAGGGTCACTTCGCCTGACCCTATTGCTAGTTGGACAGCAAAGACCTGGTGTGTGAATCCATGGATCAGAGTATCAAGCATGGGTGAGTCAACTGCTCTTTTTTCAATTCCCTTGAGATGAATGGAAGATAACTTTCCATAGCTTTCACAAGTGGTCGGAGAAAGTTGTATTAAAAATGCTTCAGAAGAAAGAAAGAACTGGCTAATGAATGTTACTGCAAGTAGGGAGACTCGGCTTTAAGAAAATTACATATCGGTACAACTTTTGCCAAATAAGATGAAATAATACTATGATGAAGTACATGTGAAGAGAAAAACATTTCTGCCGGAGCACCTTGTAACAAGAACCTCAACTTTAACGTGTGTGGGTTGGGGTCAGGTGGGGTGGAGGGGGACTTAAAATAGCCAGTGCTGAAGATTATTCAATGTCTAGATTGCTTAACAGTTTCTAGTAGAAAATTAGTATTGAATGTAGTGATTTAGATTTATTTAGTTAGGTTTTATTGCTGTGGTCATGACTAGAATTGTACCTTATGAAAAGTTAAAGGCTATGTACTTTGAATAAAGTGAATTATTCTTATTATGTTATGATATGTATTGCACAAGATATATTGATAGTAGGTGTGAATATTATTGGTGTTGGACAGATGAAACTGATGCTTTAATCAAGTTTCTCTTCATTGTCTAATTCCTGAATTTTTTTAAATGAAAACACATCATAAAGGTGAAATTGTCATTTATTCCACCAATGATTTATTCACCGTAAGATTGAAGTCAGATGCATTCTCACAGGTTTCATCAGCTCAAATGATCAACTAATAGTTTTTCTAACCAAGTCCCTTCGGCTTGGTGGACCTTAAATTCGCCTGGTGCCTTTGACTTATATGCTTTAGGTTGAGGTGCAGTGTTGAAAATCATGCTGAAGAGTGAAGATTTTTCTTTGTTGTCTGGATTGGATTGCTTTAAATTGCTACATGCTTAAATCTGTATAGATTGAGTTATTAGGTTTATATTGATTGCTGTGATTGTACCTTGATAATGATATGTAATTAAGCGTAAAACAAAGCTATTGTCTGTGTAATTAGCATAAATCTCAATAGGCTTGAGGGAAAAAATCAAGTACTTCAGTTGAATTCTCTCTAGTTCTTTAATTCTCTCAAAATCTCTAGTGATAATGGGTAAGTAGAACTTATATGTTGCCACACAAAAGACTCGGTCTTGAATTTCCGTTTCTGTGGAACTGTGGAAGATGCAGGAATTAACTCACTAAGGGTTAAAGAGATTTGGAGACCCAAAGTGATGTGGGAGAAAAATGATATAAATGATTAGGAGGTGCAATAAATGTTTACTTCGTTTGCTTAGAGCAAGCAATTCTTGTGTTTTAGATGGGATCCTTTTTTTTGTATTTTAGCATTTTTAAAAAGAAGAAGAAGAAAAGATGAGACCCGTTTTTCGTCTATTTATTTTTCCTTACTGAATGAAAGGTGTTATTATTTTCCTGTTGGTAAGGGATTTTAGCACTCCATATTTTTTTATACTATCAGTCTACATATAAATACTTCTTCCTGTCTCTGATATTGTCTTCCTCTTTGTAAATAAGACAACCTTTTTGTCTCCCTAGCGCATGGGCCGGGGCAATGCAACTATTATTGTGATATCAAGAAGATTGCAAAGAAAAAAGGATTTTAATACTCATAAAAAATTGACTTAAAACTACATAGCCCTTCCTTTATCTTTTCTCGTATTTGATTAGTCTTTTGCTCCATTTGTAACTTGTACAAAGCGATTAGGGTGGTAAGTGGTTTATATATGGATGATATTTGCATCACACAAGATTCAGGCTTGTTGAACTTAGAGCTGGGGTAAGTGGGAATCGGAAGCTTAGGAATGAGGAATTTAGCAAGGTGGACATTGACTAGAGACCAGATCAGCTGGACTGAAATTTCCAAAACGATATTGGTCGGGTGTGCGATAAAACTAGAAAGGACAGTTTCTGTATATTCCATCCTTGGGCATATGCGTGATGTTGTACTTGCTTCTTGATCGAAATAACTAGCGTCACACAGACCTCATTGAAAATAAAAGATCTCTTATTAGGTTCAGAAAATTTCAGAACAAAGTTACCTACTTGTTGCTCTTAGGAAAGATCACTCTCCATCATGTCAACATTTGATAGGAATTAGGTTCTGAGCTTATTAAAGTAATGGTCTCCTTTTCTTTATCATCATGTTATTGCACCTTCACATGTATGTTATTGCACTTTCTGGATTAACTTTTATTAGTAAGATTATGCTTAGCATGATTGGCTGCATGAATTGGTAAATTTGATAATATAACTATTTTAAGGATTTAATTTAACTTGCTCTTAGTGGTCACTTTTTCATTCTAAGACTCTGGCATGAGTTGATTGACTTCTGATGATTGACATGTGACATGGCTTAGGGGATGTGGTTTTCTAGGCCGAGAATACAGCGGAAGGCAAGGTGTGACAATCATGAAATGCAGAATCTCCAGGCTCTTGGTACTTATTTTTTTTATAGTGTATTTGATTTTGTTTTTCCCTCTTTTACTACTTATGGGAGTGATGAATGTTTGATCCCTAGAGGACAACCATGTCCAGCAGCAGAGTAGTATCACTTCAGTTCAAACAGTGTCTAGATCTTATTGCTTTCTATAAATTTGTTCTTGGAAACTTGCGTACTGATTGCCATAACATGCTTCTTAGTTCATGTTCTTGTTAATATTGCGATTAAAACTTTTTCTGTCCCTTTCGGTTGACTGTAGAGTGGCAATGTGATTTGTCATTGCGCAAACTGGGCCATCCATTTTGTCTCTCGATTATCACCAATGTTTTTCCTCACCTTGTTAGTCTAGTTCAAGTAGTCATGACAGTTTGGTCATTTAATGGTACATATTATGTTTGAATAAGGATATTTACTCTATCCTATATTCGGTATTGGGTTTACCTGTCATGCGCTTTAGGATAATAGCTTAATAGAGATGTTTCGATACAGTTGCAGTGTCACTTCTGGCCTTCTTGTGTCATGCCAAATAAAAGTTTGCTGTCTCTTTTCTTCTTTGTAAGCTTTATTCATGCATTTAAAGATATGACATCTTCATATAAACATTTTCCTAGACTCAAACACCCTGTAAATCAGCAACAGCCATATTTAGCCACTGAATTCAGATGTTACATAAAGAAGTTTGTCAATCTAGATAATATAAGGTTATTTAGAAGGGAGCTAACTACCAAAATATATATTTTGATTAACCCATCACCTGAAGAATCGTCCCTTTGTCTACATACCCTTACCCATTCAATGGATAGAGTTATATTTGATATGGTTATGTCCAAAAGTAGCTGAGATTGGTAGATGTTGTCGATCATAAATTTCAAATAAAGCCCTTTCCATCATGTTCACGTCATCAACTTTTTCTAGTTTATTGTGAACGTAATCATTTGTTTGAAAACTACGGAAAGTAAAGGAAGGGAAGAGAAGAGAGGAGATCAAGGGGAAAACACTTGTTTTTGCCTTTTGGGGATAGCAAAGCAAGAGTATTTTCTTTGTTCGTTTGGTTTGATTGAAAAATAAAAGAAATTCGAAAGTGTACATCTTTTGCTTCTGTTTGAATTTAATGCATGGATTCTATGAGAAAGTGCTATGGTTGCATCAATATAACGACATTAGTGAGTTGGTCTTGAAATGATTCTAGCATTTTGTTACATCCAACTACACTGTAAATAGTGTGTGTTAGAATAAGAATATTTTTATACAATTCTACTTAGAATAGAAATAGGAATAGGAATAGCAATAATAAATAGTATCCTACTTGGTGAAGAATTGTATTATAGTCTCTAAATAGGGCTTTTATATAATAATGTATACACAACAATTCAATAATATTTCTCTTATACTTCTCACATGGTATCAGAGCCTCTGCGAACTTGATATAGAATCAAAGAGCTTTTGCTGCCCGCAGGTGGCTATTACCCCTATATGCCGCCCGTTTGGCTAATGATTATATGCATGAACCCCATATTCAAGGAAAGAAAAACTCAGTCAGATTAGTCATCGTGCGTCAATTTTCAATGAGTTTCTAGGGTGTTTTGTGTCATCCCCATATGCATCGGTATATGTGTAGCACCGTGCCATCTTTTCGGTGACTACTTTTTCATATCTAATTTGTGAAGCACCATGCCATCTTTTCGGTGGCTATTTTTTTTATATCTGATTGCGTAGCACTGTGTCAGCTTTTCGATGACTATTTTTTCATATTTAATTTGTGTAGCACCGTGCCATCTTTCGGTGACTGCCTTTTCATATTTTATTGGTATAGCACTGTGCCATCCTTTCGGTGACTACTTTTTCTTTTCATAGCTGATTTGCGTAGCTCTGTGTATTTCCTCGTACTATTTTTCACAATTAATTTGCGTAGTACCATGAATTTTTTTTGAACTGCTTTCTCATATCGGAGAGGCATAACATTGTGTCTTTTTGGTGACTGCTCAGATTTGATTTGCGTAGTTCCATTCATCTTTTTGGTGACTCCTCAAATTTGATTTGCGTAGGGTTGTGCCATCATTCCAACCCTACCCATATAATTTCTTTTTTTCAGTAGGTTCGTGCAATAATTCCTACCTTACCCATATTATTTCTCTTTTTTTATTAGGATCGTGCCGTCAATTTGACCTTTCCTATATAATTTCTAATTTTCAGTTGGGTCATGCCATTGTTCCAACTTTACCAATATAATTTTATTTCTTAGATTGTAATTATTTTCAACCATCAAATCTAATACTGTTGTATGAGCATGTTTTGACCAGTTTTTTGGTGACTTTCTAGTTTAATATCGACTCGTCTATTGATTTCAACATGAACCATATACTTTATACTAGATTAGATCACTATCAGGTGACCGCTGCATCGTGAAGAAGTCTATATGGAGCAAGCATCTAATTTTGTTGCTTAGAGGGAGTTTAGTAGCACTGTATGAACGCAAGTCACTCTATGGTCTGAAATAAGTCTTTGCAAGCTTGGTTTGTGAAGTTCAACACTGTTATTTTATCACTCTGTGTTTTATTGTCATTATACATCAAATTCAGTATTTCATGAGAAGACCTAGCATATTGAGATTGATTTATATTATGCATCAAATCCAGTATTTCATGAGAAGACTACAAACATTGAGATTGACTGTCAATTTTGTGAAGTCGAGTGATCAACTTGTAGATGTCTCACCAAGCCCCTCATCGGTCCTCGTATTAATTACATTTGTAACAAGCTATAGGTACATATGATTTGTATGCACTAGCTTGAGGGAAGTGTTATAATAGGAATAGGTATATACCATCCTACTTAGAATATGAATATGAATAAGAATAGTAAATCGTACCCTACTTGGTAAAGAATTGTATTGTAGTGTCTATATATAGGATCTTTATATAATAATGTAGACACAATAATTCAATAATATCCTTCTCCTATATTTCTCAAATGTGTACCTCCAAAAAATCTTTGCATTCTTACTGTGACCAAATCTACACAATTTTGATACTAAATGTTGGTCATCTAGTGGGACAAATGAAACATTTTCCAAATATGGCAAGACTTTTTCCACTCATTTTTTTGGACAATGATCAAATAGAACTAAAGCTTGATAGTTTCACTACTTTCCTCGCAGATGATGCAACAATTAGCACTACTAGCCTCATACTGTCGTCTAAATTGCATTTGCAATTTGCATTGCTCAATTGCCACTTTCTATTTTTCTAATTCAGTGGTGTCCGTCCTCCTTGCTCTTTCGTGGTTCTCTTTCCAGGTTGCATTTTCTTGCTTTTATTCTAATGATCAATAGAGGCTTCCTTGGGAGTAGGATCTTGTGCCATTGAAAAATCTCATCTTGTTAAGTGACTCTTTTGTATATTCAATTTTGATTGCTTCAACTCTCTCATTTAGAAGTCTAAGATCTCTTTTTTTGCATCAGACCTGAACCCAAAGAGACTGAAAGTTATTGCTTCTGTTGAAAGCTTTTATGATAAGATCCATCTTTTAAGCAGAAGTTGAACTATTTTCTCTCATCTTTCCTCTCATAAATATCTATATGTGCATCCAATGATAGTGATTTGTAGAAATAGTGCAACAAATTTCAACTCGAGTGTTGTTCAATGGTGTATTTGATGCCTGTAACTTTTGTTTTTCTTGTGCTCAGCTGTAAAGACCAGCATTTGATTTGGATGATTTGAAGCTCGTTGAAGCTGACTTGGAAGAAAACATACTGGGGACTATTTCCATTGTTGATTGTGTGTCCAAATCTTTGAAATTATCTAGTATCTACTCCTCTCATTTCTTTTGCTGCTTGTGCTGACTTAAACATGTCTAGTACTTATTTCACATCTCAATTAATAGCTCTCTTCTGTAAGAGTGAAAACAAATCTTCCTTCTTTCAAATTGAAGATTCTCCTGATATTATGTGCATCTGTCTGACATGCTTGGGTATGTTGAATTTACCCTTTTTCTCCTTTTTTTTGTTTTGTGATAAGTATGCATTTTATTAAAAACTAGATGGTACAGAAAAAGGTACAGTACTTAACAGCAAACTCTGTAATTCAATACTGCATATTATCTCCTAGTAAGTACAAAAAACAAATACTTATCCATCATATCTAAAAATAGTGCTATAACACCAAAAGTACAGTTTTAATGCATTTATTTTTTACTCTAGAAATCTTTAACTTCTTCCCATCAAAGCATGCCATGTTCCTTTCAAGCCATAAGGTCCACATTATGCAATTGGGAATAGTTCTCCATATTGGTTTTAAGCTCTTTTAACCTCCTGTTTTCCACACTTCAAACAAGCTACTAATTTTCTCTGGTAACACCAAAGGGTATGCCCTGCATTATTGAGCTGGTGAAGGGGCATAGTAAAAATATTTCTTCTTTCACTAGGTGAATAGAAACGATATGTATAATAGTGTATGATGTTAGAGATTGTAAGAAAAACAAATGTGGAGCTGGTGGTGCAAAGTAAATATTTCTTCTCTCTCTAGGTATAATAGAAACAATAAGTATAATAGTGTATGATGTTAGAGAGTAAGAAAAACAATGTCCATATTTGATATCAAGTATATAAGTAGTCATAGCATCATAAATCAGAAATACAAGAAGAAATGAAAGAACTGATATGTCATTTGAAAGATTCAGGTATTAGTCCCTTCGTTGTTGCAATCATGAGCCTGTGAGTTGCTCTTCTGTTTTATGCAGATCATTGCCTTCCTCAGATTGACTCATTTAACAGCCTGCAATTATGTGAGCAATAGAAGTCATAAGCTGGAATGGTTTTGAAGCACCATTTTAGCATGAGCTGAAACTGGGGTTTGAGTTTTTGTTCTTGACTTAAAATTGGTGATTTTATATATAATTTTATCATCTATTGTTCCTAATGTTTAATTTCAGTGGTGGAAGCATAACTTAAAGTGATAGATAGAGCACTGATAGACAGGTATTTGAGGGGTTCTAAACCTACGAATGGACACAAGATAGTGTACTAGTGTCCCACTTGTTATTTGCTGATTTTAAACCCGTCCTATTTGATACTGAAGTAGATCAGTTTCCATGCTTGAGGCATGTAGTGATATGAATTCAGATGGATCCGGCTAAAAAATAAATCGAAGGAATAACATTCTGGTAGACGAGCTTGAAAATATAAAGTATATTCTGAGACCCTCAATAATGGTTGAATTGCTTCATGCAACTTAGGTTTTTCATTGGGTGCGAACCTAAAAAGATTGTGTTATGTCGAATCACATTATTGAAAAAGTTGAGAAGAGGGTAAAAGTATGGAAAACGAGATACTAATTGAAAAGCAAGAAAAGATATAGACCTCGAGTACAATATCTTGCCCTCAACCTATTTATAACAATGACATCTTGAAACGTGGGAAGAAAAGCGACTGGAGAGGATATAAAGCAAATTCTTATGGAACACGAGAGGAGGAAGAAATACCGTTTAAACTAGAAGGTGGAAGATCACCATGTAGATGAGTGTTGGGGTTCAGAGATCTTAAGGTTTTTAGTGAAGTCTTACTGTATAATAGCAAATGGATTTAACAATTTTTAGTAGGTAGACTATTTTATTGAGATTGATCATCGCTGACCATTATGAAACTCAACAAAGGAAATGGAGGACAACCAAATTTCTTGGTCATATAGGGTAGCATTATGGAGAGGCATCTTTAAGATTTGTTTTTATTAAGATAATGAACGATTAGAGATAATTATAAAATAGGTGACAATGTCACAAGAATGGAATATTTTCATTACCCTTGCTTGCTAATACCCTAGCAATCCATGGGACAAATATTTTCGAACACAATATTTGTTGATTCAAAACCATTCTCATCTTTGTTGATTCAAAACCATTCTTATCCAGCATCCTTTTATCTTTTAACAAAAAAGAACAAGGATAAAATAGTGAAAGGAATATATTTTTGAGCCCTATTGATTGGTTGGGATCCTTCTAGTGATTGTGATTTTCTGCAAACAAATACACAATCTTGCCTCTAAAATCTTCGAATAACTTTGAGTTATCTTTTGTTTCAAGTAGTTCTATGGTACCACAGGATTATAATAATATGTTGAGGTGAAAATAGTGTTTCCATTTGTTCTGCCGAAAGCAGTTAATACCACATATCTTACCCTTGGAGATATGTGCATCTACATCACTTGCTGGACACCCTTAATCAAATCAAGAAAAGGTGCCTGCTAAATGTAAAAATTTGTCTAAACATAGCACAGGAAAGTATTAAATGTAGGATTGGAATTTCTCAAATTACTAGCGTATCAGACTGCTTATTTTTCTGTATGTTCTAGTTACACATTAAAATTACTGAAATTTGAAAAACACTAGGGGGTCTCTTTCCATTTGTTTGTCCAGCCTTGGTCGACAGAGTTATCCAGTACCAGTACCTGTGTTGGTGGGAGGTAGTAGGGACCTTGTAGAATTGAGGTGTGTGCAAGATGGCCCGGACAGCGTGGTTATGAAAAAAATCATTGAATATTGCAGCTGTTTACACTCAATAAGACTCACTTGTTTATGCAAATATCTTCTAATGGTGTACTAGCTGAATTTCATACGGCCTCATGTTTATTTTGCAGGAAGCGGTGCCACACACTTTTCTTCTTTTGACGTGTGTTGTTCTTCTACTGATACGCTAGTTGGTGGTCTATGAGACTATTGGATCCTTCCATTTTCAGCTACAGTTCTTTTTATCTCCTGACTGGGGGAATCCATGCCTAATGGAGGTAATATTTTGTCTGCGTCTGTTTTCTTTTTTCTGATTAATGTCCTTCAGTTTTTCTGTACTTAAATTTTCTTTTTTTGATTAAGAAAGTGTATAGCTTTGTGTACTTGATCTCTCATTTCTATCTATGCTGACTCTGTGTTGGAGCATATTTAATCTCCATCTGTTGATCAAATTTGACTGCTTGTTGATGCATATTTTATCTCATGTTACATATCTGCAAAAATCCCGAGATCATCAAATACTGACAATCTTGCTGCGAGATAGCCAACAATAATTTACATTCATGTCTGTGTTCTGAAATGCATCCCAAACTTTCAAGTGGTTGTACAAACTATTCGATCTATGTACATAGAATATCAAAACTTAAGGAATCTAAAACTATTCAAACATTTGTTCATGTAGAGAGTGCACCCACTAACAACTCTTCAGATGACAGGCCTGGTAAAAACCTTTGATCTGGTAATCACCCCTTTCTGTAAATCTGCAGTTCATAGATAGTATAAGCTTTCCTCACTATAATGATTGATATTGATATTCTTTTGTGCTTTTAAACCCAGTTTATGAGAATGAAAATGTTGTGCATAGGAAATGAAAGTTCTTGACTAGTATCGAGAGCATGGAAAATTTAAGTAGTAGAATGATAATTACTAACTTAAACATTTCGTGTTGTTAAGATGATCAAGCACTTATGGTTTAATCATAATCGCTAACTTAACTATTCTTGATTACTTTTGAGCTCAAAAAGAGTATCGTTGCTATTCACCTGATCTTTGTCGCAACCTTATGTCTGCCGATGTCACATTCTTTGAATCTCAACCTTACTATTCATCTTCTGATTATGTTGATGTCGCTGAAGTCTTACCCATACCTCACATCTTACCTATACCAACTTTTGAGGAGTATTGTTACTTCTATGTCTCCCGTGTCCATACCTCAGTTCTTACATGTACCAAATTTTGAGGACTCTACGGTTGCTTCTATGTCGCCCGCTGCAACGCCATAGCTCCTAACTTATCATTGTCATTTGTGTCCAACATTAGTCCCTGATGATTCATGTTATGCGTCAAACCTTATTCCTACTTTTGAGTTGCCTTATCCTAGCTAACCAATTGCACTTCAAAAGGGTATACTTTCCACTCGAAATGCTACCCCGCATTATACTTTCTTGAGTTATTCATCATCTATCATCACTTCATTATGCCTTTATATCATCTCTATCTTCTACATTCATTCCTAAGACCACAGGTGAAACACTTTCTCATCCAAGATGGAGGCAGTTTAGGTGAAACACTTCCTCATCCAAGATGGAGGCAGTCTAGGTGAAACACTTTCTCATCCAAGATGGAGGTAGACTGTGATTGATGAAATGTCTGCTTTACATACGAGTGGTACTTGGGAGCTTGTTTCCCTTCCTACCTTAGTTGCACGGACTCTTCACTTTTGATGTTGTACCCGTGTCGGGTTCTCCAAAAATAAACTACTTTTGGTGAATCTGAGACACATAGCTTCCTACAAGTAAATCTGCTGTTGGTTGTCGTTGGGTTTATGCAGTCAAAGTTGGTCCTGATGTTCAAGTTGATCGGCTTAAGACTCACCTTGTTGCCAAAGGGTATACTTAAATATTTGGGCTAGATTATGGTGACACTTTCTCTCCCATGGCTAAAGTAGCATCTATACGTCTTTTTCTATCTATAGCTTTAGGTCATCATTGGCCTCTTCATCAGTTAGACATTAGGAATGCTTTCACGATGATCTTGAGCAAGAAGTCTATATGGAGCACCACTTAGTTTTGTTGCTAGGCGGAGCCTAGTAACCTTGTATGTTGATTGCGCGGTATGGTCTGGAACAACCTCCTTGAGCTTGGTTTGGTAAATTCAGTAGTAATTTTGGAGTTTGACATGACTCGTAGTGGAGCTGATCATTATGTGTTTTATCGACATTTTTCACCAACTTTGTGTATTTATTTGGTGGTCTATGTTGACAATATTGTTATCTCTGGCAATGATCAAGAAGGTATTACTAGTTTGAAACATCTTTTTCAGCATTTTTGGACGAAAGACCCTTGGCAGATTAAAGTATTTTATAGGTATTATAGTTTCTCAGTCTAAATTAGGTATTGTTATGTCTAAACGCAAATATGACTTAGACATTCTCAAGGAGACAAAAATGATGGTAGTAGCTCAATTGACACTCATATAGATCCGAATGCTAAACTCTCGCCACAATAGGTGAAGCCACTTAGTGATCATGGAAGGTATAGGTGGCTGGTTGGTAAATTGAATTATCTCATCGTGACTAGACCTGACATCTCTTTTGGCATGAGTGTTGTAAGTCAGTTTATGACTTCCACATATAATAGTCATTGAGATGCAATTCACATTTTAAGATATATAAAGTCAGCTCTAAGTAAAGGATTACTCTTCGAGAATCAAGGCTATGAGCATATCATTGGATATATAGACGCTGATTGGGCAATATCACCCTCTGATAGACATTCTAATCTGGATATTGTGTTTTAGCAGGAGGTAATTTGGTGTCCTGAAAAAAGTAAGAAACATAGTGTGGTTGCTCGATCGAGTGCAAAAGCAGAATGTCGAGCAATGGCTGTAGCAACTTGTGAGCTAGTTTGGCTCAAAGGGAGAACTAAAATTTGGAGCAATCTATTAGATAGAACTTGTGTGTGATAATCAAGCGAGCCTTCTTATCGCATCAAATTTAGTATTTCGTGAGAGGACTAAGAACATTGAGATTGATTATCATTTTGTCAAGAAAAATATAGTCCCAGGAGATATTGTTACAAAAGAATTGTGAAGTCAAGTGATCAACTTGCAGATATCTTCACCTAGTTCCTTACCGGACCTCATATTAATTATATTTGTAACAAACTAAGTACATATGACTTGTATGCTTCAACTCGAGGGGAGTGTTAGAATCCTAGTTAGAATAGGAATAGGTATATATGATCCTACTTAGAAGAGGATTAGGAATAAAAGTATAAATAGTTAATAGTATCTTACTTGGTAAAGAATTACATTGTAGTGTTTATAAATAGGGTCTCTGTATAATTGAGACACACAATTCAATAATATTTTCTCCAATATTTTTCACAGTCTCAACAAGATTGGGGGCCCAAACTTCATAGAGGAACCTTAGTTTTTTCTAGTTGACATATATAAATTGAATAACAATTCTACATGTGACATCTAGATGCAAACCTTATGAAATAAGTATGTAAACGATGCAGATTTTCAACAAAAGATATTATATAAAGTTCGAACAATAAAATCTAGCTCTGGAATTTGAGAAGTTGATATAATGATATCAAAATAGTGTTGCGCGGACTTTGATAAGTTGATATAATAATATTGAAATGGTTTTTGACTTGTTGCAGTGCTTGAAATTTGAACAAGACACCAAAAAGTAAATTTAATCTTTTTTGTTAAATAACAACAATACATTTAACATTATCTTTATTTAAAAAAAAAAAGATTTTGCATAATGCAGAAGATTTGACCGTTTGTGGGACTTCAAAATGTTCAATAATAAGTGAGTAAATACTGCGAAAGGGGAATGTAAAAAGTAAATATAGGAATAATAATGTGAGTTCATGTAAATCATCAAAATATAAATGAGGCAAAAAAATGGTTAGCCATGTAAGAAAGGATACTACGATCATTGAAAACTTTTCCATTTCTCTTTTCAAATTTTAACTGGACATAAGATTTTCTTAACAATATATATTGGAATACATCTTTAGGAAAGATCCCCCCACCCCCCACCAAACAAGAAAGTCAGGCTCCAAGCCATTGCTTTAGTGGCCTTATAGTGGAGCCGGCCTTGTTAATATGAAGCGGCTACTTGGTTATTTAAGGTGCAGAACTTCTCCATTTCACACAACTCCCTGGTAATATTTTCTCCATTTCATACAACACCCTGGTAGCAACTTCTCTGTTCAACCATTCAATTTTTATTCTAAATAGTAAGAATTATCTGGGGAACAGAGGGAGTAACCTAATCACTAGACTCTTCTTTATATTTGTTGGCGTATATATACAGAGGTTCCATTTGTTGCGTGGTTTTTTATTATCTTTTAGCATCAGATAAGTTTGCTGGAAAAAAAAACCACTCACACAAACACATATTAAGAAGCTCTAGATTTATGGTGGTTAGGATTATCCTAGTGGCTCTAATTGTTTCAAGTATTTGTTAATAATTCAGGAATTAATGGGAGCTTTACCAGTTCACTTGTGTGTCCAACTATGCGTTACCATCACAAACAGAAGAGCGGCATCCGTACAGTACCAGAACTGTGTAGGCTAGCAAGAAGGAAACAGTTGTTCCAGCTTTTGCATACTGTTGAAAGACAGAAATTCTATCCACGTTTTGTTGCTGCAGGGTTGAGTATGTTCTAGGCAAATCCCCAATCGTACTGGCTGAACTTTCCTCATCTGTATCAGTATATGAGTAAGCAGCATGACTGTTAACATGGTGCAATTGAACGTAGTTCTCTTTCTGGTCTAAAGTGTCTGCATCTGAACTTGCAGAGTGTGTTTCAACTTTGATAACAGGGTTGCTGCTCCTTTGATGGTCCATGAATTCTGCTTCAAATTTTGCTGCTCGCTCTAGGTTAGCCATCTTTTGAATGCTCAGCCCTTGGTCAATCCAGTTCATATCTAGAGCATTTTTTATGTGGATGCTTTTAAGTAGGGTTGATATGAAGTTGGCACCAAATGTAAGTGCAACCAAAATGGAAAGGGAGAAAGGCTTCCACCAGTTTTTACATTGGACGGGTGAGGGTTTTGAATTTGACAGGAAAATGATGAGCAGGAAAATGACATAAAACATGGCTAAGTGAGTTGCTTTTGTCTCATAGTACTGGATTTGCTTCACTAGCCTGTGATTAATGATGGCCAATTCTTTGCAGGTGTTTTTGTGTTTTTCTAGGGTGTGGGAGAGTTTACTCCACATGCCATTAATCTGAATACTTTTGGACATAGTTGAAAACACACACAAGAATTATGTTCTTCTTTTTGAGGAAATTTGAGTAGGTACGGTTTATGTAGAAAGTTAAATTACCGTGTGTGAATACCTTTGTTACAACCAATTTCTTTGCAAGCTACTTCCAGACAAATTATATAAACTGCGGTCCTTAGAGTTGCTTCTAAGGTTGAATCTCCGATTAGAGGATTTGTACATCTAACTTAAATTAACAGAGGGAGTACTTTCTTTACTTGTCCAGGTTTGACTTGGCATATCCAGGTAAGTATCAGCAATCCTGGTTTTTCTTGTGAACTGTCTCAGAAATGTGGAGGGGGTTAAGAGTGTTGAAGTACTTAGCTTGATCTTATATAAAGGTGAAGTTGAGTGCTTTCAACTTAAATTAACTACAAATAATACATACAAATATTATTATTTTAGTCGTATTCAGTATATCGAATTGTGAGATAATATATATTAGATAGAGAAGAATGGGTTTATATATAAAAGAATGTGCTGATGTAACATCTTGTGCGTGTGCTATGTTTTTTTATTCTTATATTCTTGCTGAGAAAATCAGCAAGCAGCAATGAGACGCAACCTGGAGAATTGATATTTGACTATGATACCTTTCAGCTTAAGAAGTGTAACTACTGTTAAGTGTGAACTTGCAGTATCTGAGCATAGTTTTGTGATTAGCATTTGGTTTTAGTTTTGAGTATATTGTAGCATGGAGATTGTTGGGGAACAGTGAACATCGTGTATCATTTATACATGTGATGTTGATTTATTCGATACTTCCGATACATATTAGTTTGGTGTAGATACCCGGTGCCAGTAAATTGTTACCTGGAAGCAAGCGATTAGAGAAAGAGTTGAGATATACTTGTAAACGAAAATGACTTTGTGCCATTAGATTTATTATAGTAGAAAAAGAAATGAGATCTGACTATTTTGGTTCAAAGCATTACCAGACCTTGAATGGGACAATTAGCCTTTTACTCCCTTTGTTTATCTTTACTTTGATTTAGCACATCCCTTTTAGAGACGATGAATATAAGGGCAATTTTACGATATCACTCTTATTAATTACTTAAGTCATTTAAATGTTGTGGAATGAAATAGTATTTAGTAAAAAAGAGGTAAAAATAGACACGAAGTGATATTTATCTCTTTGGTTTTCCATACTAGATAAGTAATGTTGGATATATACTTTAATATATTGAATAAGTAAAGATAGATAGAGGTTGTACTAACCTAAGCGATGCTTCACATCGTGGAAGCAATTTATGTTATACTACATTCGTAAATTTAACTTAGAAGGCTTTGTTTGGGTGTTAACATCATCATATTAAATAGCAAATAACTCAAGTTGGTTAAAGGGATTCTAATAGCTTAATCTGTATTTGATTGTTACTTTGGAGTTATTTTATATGCCTCTTCTGTTATTTATTTTTATGTGCCTTTTGAAAAGATTGGACCATTAATAATAATCAACCCGTTTCCTAAGTCAACTTTCAAATTGCTGCTTATTTATTCATAAAATCAACAATATCAATCTGGAGTGATGTATAAGTAGGTTACTTTCATTATACAACACCGCGTTTACTAATGATGTATGAGGAATTTCGTTACGCATTTTTTTTTTAAAAAAAAGGAATTTAATTACGTTATCCCCCGTTTCTTGCTGCAAGACGCAATTTAATGGTTCAACATTAGGCACTATTCATGACTATAAAGATTAATAAACTATAAATCAGCTCAAAGGTCATAAAAAGAATCTTAAGGCGGCAAATTTAATTGTTTTTTCATCCATCCCCAGCATTCCACATGGCCCAATCCGGGCATTAAATATAGGGAAAATTGTATATAATAGCAAACTAACAACCTAAATTAAATGGAATAGCTAGGGTTTGATTTAATTGTGTTCCATAGTAAACGTTGGTAAAAATTTGCCAGGCGTCTCTCTCCAAGGAGTCTTGCTCGCCACTCTCCCATTCTCGCCTCTCTCGCTTTATACACAGAAGTGTATAATTTCTGTTTCTGTTTTGCATAAAGCGAGAGAAAATTGTATATACACATGCAAAAATGTATATCTTCGTGTTATACACTTAATTATATAATTTACAAACATTTTACTTCAAATATTACAGAGAAAAAGGCCAAAGAATTATACAATTGTGAATTATACAATTGCAGTGAAATACAATTTTTTCTAGCTTTATACAACAGAAGTGTATATATTGTGTTTCTGTTTTTGTATAAAGCGAGAAAAACATATATCTTCTTGCTATACACTTATAATTATGCAATATACATACATTTTAATTCGATTCAACTGTATGCAAAACTAATTATACAATTGCAGCGAAATAGGCCAGCGAATTATACAATTTAGGCCAGCAAATAATACACTTGTATATGTATAGCGAATTATACAGTTTTTATGTTCGCTATGGAGCGCAATTATGCAAAGTTTGTTATAGCATACAAATATGAATTTTTTGTTTGCTATATGTGAAAGTTGCCCTTTAATATATATATATATATATATATATATATATATATATATATATATATATATATATATATATATATATATATATATATATATGAAGGCATTTTTTTAAAAATATATACATTTATGAAGGCAACAAAGACAATTTTTGTAAAGAAAATTTCAAACTCACGTATAAAAGAATTTGATATTTTACACGTATATTAAAAAGTTATTCTCTGTGTCTCATTTTGTATGTTACCTTTTTTAGTTTGTATTTGTACTAAAAATGATGTAATTTTACCGTCTTATTCTTATTTAACTTTTTTGGAATTCAAATTTTCAATCAATGAATATGAATTAATTATTTTGATTAATTAATATAAACAATGATCATGAATCATTTACTTAGCTTTTCTAAGTTGAATTAAATATTTCAAGGCTAATAACTCACAAGGGTAAAATAGTTATAATCTTCCCCACTCCATCTAATTTGGTAAAGAACTCACTGCGATCTCTGGAAAAACCACACTTCTCCTGAAAGATAGATGAACGCATAAAACAATTATTCAACATATGCATCAGAGCGATTAAAAGGAGAGCGTCCCTTTCATCGGGACAAACAACCCATTTATGATCAGGGTCCCCTGGAATAGCGTAATTTATGCATTGATTTTATGCAAATGACAAGTATTTTGGATCGACTATTTATAGAAATGGATGACATCTAAGATGGGACGGAGAGAATATTTACATTCTATTTCCGCTCTTTTTTAAATTACAAAAATCTCTCAAATATTATGAATTTTGGATACATCATTCAACGTTTCGATACACCACGACCGATTTCAAATACACCAGTCAATCTCTCGGTGCATCTTATCCCAGTTTCGGATACATCACCCATTGTTTGATACATTACATTCCAATATATTAACTTTGTTGATATGAGACAAACCTGTCCCGATATATCGCTCAACGTCTTAACATTGCATTTTGATACATCACTAAGAGTGTGTTTGGTATGATGGAAAACATTTTCTGGAAAATGTTTTCCAATTTTCTCATGTTTGGTTGCGACAAAAGTTTTGGAAAACGTTTTCCAAATCAACTCATTTTCCTCAAAATTAAGGAAAATGACTTCCCTTCAAAAATTAAGGAAAACATTTTCCAAATCTCTCATCCAATTTCAAATTACATTTTTTTTTGGAAAAACATCAATTTTTTTAAAAATAAAAATATTTTCAATTTCAAAATTTTATTTTTTCACCCGATCTCTGACCACCCTCCCCCCCAGCTCCCCTCCCCCAACACCACCCCCTCCCCAAAAAATTAATTTTGCTTTTTAATAATTTTTTCAACTTCAAATTTTCATTTTTAAACTCCTACCTCTCCCGTGGCCAGCCCCCCCCACCCCACTGCCATCCTCTCAAAAAATTAATTTTGCTTTTTAAAAATACTATCAACTTCAAATGTTTATTTTTTCACTCCTACCCCCTCCTCTGCCTCCCCCCACTACCCCCACCCCCACCACACCACCCAAAAAAAATTGTTTTTAAAAAATATTTTCAATTTCATAAATTATTTTCTACTCTAGTAAAAATAAAAGATGTTCGTCAAAAATATTTTTAATTCATAAATTAAACACTAAAAATTATTTCCGAAAAATATTTTCTACTCACCAACCAAACATGAGAAAATAAGTCTAAAATCTACTTGTTTTCCAGGAAAACATTTTCTAGTTAAACATTTTCCATGGAAAACATTTTCCTTCATACCAAACACACCCTAAACATCTCAATACATTGAATGTTGATATATTGTGTTTTGATGTATGCGTAAGAGTGATATATCCAATAATAGGATAGAGTAAGGATTTTTGTAATCTTTTTAAATGATAGAGAATTTTAGAGAAAGAATATGATAGGCGAAATGGTCTGATGGACCCTTATACTTGTATGAGTTTGTATTCTAAACCCTCTCACTTTATACTTTGTCATCTTTTTTTTTTTAAAAAAATTAATTATATTTGACTTTTTTTTTCTCCAAATGTTCCCTCAAGGGGCTTCAATAGATAAGTCAAAGGAGCATGGAGGGGGATGAAACCTGACCTCCGCATTACAACACTAGGAGTGAGGGACATCCTTACTCTCTAACTTATCAAAATAAAAGGAAAGAAAAAAAGGAGGAGGGTTGCTCCTTGTTACATAAGCTTACAAAAAAATCTAGTTCATAAACTAGAAGCAACCAAACAAAATTTAACCAAGGTCGAATATGAAGTTTCCCTTCTTCACTCGAATTCTACTGTTGGGCTTGCCAACTACATCATTATTCAAGGTGGAAGTAACCTTAGAAGGAAGATTTATGGCCTCGGTGAAGAAGGTAGTTGTTTTGCAATGTTCAGTCATATTAGCGAGCAAATCAGCTGTAGTATTACCTTCTCTGAAGGTGTGAATGAAAGAGAAGTCACCAAGTGAACTCATGGATTGAATTTGCTTAATATCATCTTTCATATGCCAAGGGGAATCGATCATACCTTTAACCATCTGAATAATCAATAGGGAGTCAGATTCAACAGTAACCCTGTGAAAATCATGATCTAGACACCATCTTAGGCCAGTCTTTAGAGCTAGTGCCTCAGCTGAATTTTTTGAGCAAAAACCAAAATAGGCACTGAAAGCCATAATCATTTGTCCAGCATGATCCCTAAGTACTCCTCCACCTCCAACACTTCCAAGATTTCCTTTACTACAACC